CCAGATGTTCCCAAACCGGAAGCCCCGCAGCCACCCAGGAGACACATCCTGGGGTTGAACCCAGCCCGTGGCCCCCAGTTACACCCCCTGTACACAGGTTAGTGTGGAAAGAGAGGCAGGTTTCAGGGTGACCCTGCTCGAGCTCTGAGAAGGTCCCGTGGGGTGGGGGGCACAGGGAGCTGGCAGAGCTTACACCTCTGCTCCCACACGGGGGTGGGGGGGTAGGGGGGGAGTGTTCGCTTCTGCACGCTGCGTCCTCAGGTGGCTGAAGCTGGCCTGCCTCTTCAGACCAGATCCGCGTAATGAAGCTGATTTGAAGCTAGACTCTCCCTAAAGTGAGGTATCCGATTGCTCCGTCTGCAAATCCTCTGGGAAGCCCACATGCGGAAAGTGGACCTGAACTGGAACTTTCCTCACCTCCCAGGAAGTGGAGTTGCTGCTAGTTGTGAATTGTTGCGCCAAAGGCCGCTCTGCAGGGAGCCGGACCTGTGCCCAAACCCTCTCGCGGCCTCCTGCCAGCTGGGGGCCCGGGGTGAGCGCCCTCACCTGCCTCACTCATCAAATGGGCTTAATAATAGTTCTGACTCAGTCAAATGATGTGAGACCTGTGTGAACCGTTCGTGTGGCGCTAGCACCCAGTAGGCACTCAGTGTGACACTAGCACCCAGTAGGCACTCAGTGTGACGCCAGCACGCAGTAGGCACTCAGTTAGTGTGGCACTAGCACCCAGTAGGCACTCAGTTAGTGTGACGCTAGCACCCAGTAGGCACCCAGTGTGACGCCAGCACCCAGTAGGCACTCAGTTAGTGTGGCGCCAGCACCCAGTAGGCACCCAGTGTGGCGGCAGCACCCAGTAGGCACTCAGTTAGTGTGGCGCCAGCACCCAGTAGGCACCCAGTGTGGCGGCAGCACCCAGTAGGCACCCAGTGTGGCGCCAGCACCCAGTAGGCACCCAGTGTGGCGCCAGCACCCAGTAGGCACTCAGTTAGTGTGGCGCCAGCACCCAGTAGGCACTCAGTTAGTGTGGCGCCAGCACCCAGTAGGCACTCAGTTAGTGTGGCGCCAGCACCCAGTAGGCACTCAGTTAGTGTGACGCCAGCACCCAGTAGGCACTCAGTTAGTGTGGCGCCAGCACCCAGTAGGCACCCAGTGTGACGCCAGCACCCAGTAGGCACTCAGTTAGTGTGGCGCCAGCACCCAGTAGGCACCCAGTGTGGCGCCAGCACCCAGTAGGCACCCAGTGTGGCGCCAGCACCCAGTAGGCACCCAGTGTGGCGCCAGCACCCAGTAGGCACCCAGTGTGGCGCCAGCACCCAGTAGGCACTCAGTGAATGCTGGCTGCTGCTGGTTTCCCGTAATGTAGGTGGGCCGAGGCTCCTCTAACACGTCACCTGCTTCTGGGGCAGCTCAGGACTTTCTCCCTCTCATCTCACGTCATTTCAGTTGCTGGCCTCTCCCCACTTTTGTGTTTCTTTTCTTCTCCTAAAAGAAACTGTCACTGCCCCTCCCCGCCCCAGGTTCTCCGAAGTCCCTTTCCGCTCAGAGACGGTGGCTTCTGCACAGTGCTCCCGGGGGGGCCCTGCCGTCTCTGCTGAGTGTCCCCAGAGACGAGGAGCTCACCCCCTCTCTGGCGGCGCGGCTGCAGAAGCTGAAGGAGGAAGCCCCCGGGTGTGCCCAGGTCTCGCTGGTGGGACCAGATCTGGGGCACACAGGTCCCCTCTGGGGCTGCAGCATCTAGTTTTCTGGGGACGCCACCCGGCTGGTAAGAAGGTCCCAAGCGCTGGGTGAGGCGCTGATTTCAGGCTCCAGGGAAAGTGCTGTGCGTGGCCGAGACGTGCTTTTCCAGAGCAGGACCTGTCCCGTGCTCGCCGGCAGCCCACGTAGCCAGGAGGAGAGAGGGGCTCGGAATGGGAGATCAGACACCTACTGCCACCAGCTGCGCTGCGTTTGGGACACTGGGGAGCAAGGCCGTGGCCTGTGGAGCCTGGGGCTCTGGGCTGGACCCGCTACGGATGTGCAGGGCCCCCTGCGAAGTAGGAATTCGGAACCTTTTTGGTTCTTAATAAAAAATGATCAAAAATTTCAGGAGGGTCCCAGCAAAGCGCTGAACCCCGCTGGGCGCTCTGATTGCAGGGACGTTCTGCGCGCAGGCCCGCGTGGCTGCAGGTCACGGAGCCGCCCCCCACGCACCCCCCCCCCCCGCCCTCGCACGTGTTCCCGCCGAGAGCGGCCCGGAGCACCACAGGCAGCTGCACTGAGGACGCGTGACTCTGCTTCTCAAGGATTCTCCCCATCGCTGATGCCACGTGCTAATTTTAGAACATTTTCAATCCTCATAAAAGAAGGAAGAAAGTTTTCAGTCACCTGTGTCACCTCCCTCAGAAATCGCCGGTGCCAACATTTCCCTCCGCTTCTAGGAAGAGCACGATTTGAAACAAAATGAGCATCTTAGCATCTTATTATATGCATCATTCTATCTTCTGCTGGTCCCGCTAAATGCTGTATTACGGCTCATTCCCTAAGTCCGGAGAGCCTGTCCTGTGAGTCGATTTGTAATGACTATTTAGTATTCCACTGGATGGACTTCCGTAACTACCTCCCTACGATGGGACGTGGGCTCCTTCCAGCGGCTTCCGGTCCTCCCTGTTATAAACAGCACTGGCAAGAACATGTGTGCGCACGTTTCTGCTGATTTCCTCTGGGAGGGAAGGCAGATAGGGAGACCTATGGTTCCGGAGGCTTCCGGGTTGGTTCTGAATTCCACCTGGGCCAGGAGCTCAGCCCCGCCCCCTGGGCAGCGACGGCGCCCAACGAACCGCCCCGCCTGGCATCCTTTCAGTTGTGGAGAAAAAACAACCCTCCCCGAGCTGACAGAACTGGGAAGTAGCGAGTGCGAACCACGTAGGCACCTCCCGCTAGCCACGCTCACAGCCACCCCGCGTGGGGTGCTCCCCAGGCCCTTTACCCACCAGGAGCAGAGGCCCTGGCCCGAGGACCTCCGGCCGGTCCTGCTGGGGGCGGACGCTAGCCCCGCGTCCCACCAAACGATGGCAGGACTTGGGGACCTGGCTGCCTCGGCCTGTCAGGCTGCGGATGGAATGAGGTCAGCTTAGCCCAGTGCCACTCATGGGGACGCGCAGTAGTGGTAGCGAGGAGAAGGGGGAGGAGGGGAGGGAAGAAGAGGAGGGGCAGCTGGGGGGTGAGGTCAGGATTGGTCCCCTTGGGAGAGGTGGGCGTGGCAGGGCATCTGGCCACCTGACCGCAGGCTCCCGAGGGCAGGGATGAGGGCTGCTGACCCCAGCTCAGTGCCACCCACTGCGGGCGAGCAGCACAGCCCCCTCGGAGGCCTCCACAGGCTGGGGCTGGGCTGGGCAGGGCAGGCGGAGTGCTGGTTTGCAGCTGTTACCTTAACAAAGTCCACCGATTTCGTGCCTCAAAGGTGTGAGCTGACGAGCATGCGTTCACGGAGGTTGGGCGTCTGCAGTGTCTTGTGGCTAAAATCAAGGTGTTAGCCGATTGCTTCTGGAGGCTCCGGGGTGGAACCCGCTTCCTGGCCTTTTCCAGCGTCTGGAGGCGCCTGTATTCCTTGGCTCATGGCCCCTTCCTCCATCCTCAGACAGGTGTCTCCTCCTCTGACCACAGCTGGGAAAGGTTCTCCACTTTTAAAGACACGTGTGATTCGATTGGATCCACCTGCATCACCCCGGCTGCTCTCGCAGCTCCAGGCCCTTAACTTCATCCGCCGGCAAAACCAAGGAGGACTGTTTTTGAGGAACTTCCTGCCAGAAGCCCCCAGGGCCCACCCTCTGCTCATCTTAAGGGCAGGGGTTCTGGGAACTCAGGCAGGTTCTCTGCTCAACCAGGAGCTGCTCTTCCTCACCTCAACCCCACGGAGTAGGCACGGTGGGCGCCGTTATCCCCATTTCACAGGTGGGCAAACTGAGGCCCAGAAAGGCCGGGTAATTTGCTCAAGGCCACACGGCTGGCAAGGAGCAGGGCTGAGCCTTGGTGATAGCTGGACCCTAAATCTAGGGCTCCATGGTGCCACTGCCTGCCTCTAGCAATACCAGAGTCCCTGGCTCTCCCTGGGCCCCAGCCCTTGGTTCTTTCCAGAAGGGTGGCAGGCCTTCCCGCCCTGTTCCCAGAGCAGGCCGCGATCTCAGGGCAGAGGGCGTGGGCAGCCCTGGGTGGGGGCTGGCTTAATGGGGAGGGTCTGGGAGCCTCCCCGGGGCAGGGCCTCCCTGCAGCTGCACACTGGGGGTGAGGGTGAGGGTGCAAGGCCAGTCTGTGCCCACGCGGGAGCGGCCGTAGGTCTCCCTGGTCCAGCCCCCCAGCGGGAACTTTGGGGCGTCTCTCCCAGCCCCGGCGCGGCACCCTCAAGCCTCTGAATGAGAAACAAGGATGCGAGTGTACGTGGGGCAGCATTTGAAGCTGGGGTGGCACTCGATACACGAAGGCGGGTGAGGGTGTGCACCCCGAGGCTGGGGGCAGGGTTAGTGCTCCCCCCCAGCGGCCCCCTGCAGCCCCACTCCCGCCCGGCCCGCGCCCGGCAGGGGAGGAGTTAAGCTGCGCGGGCACCTTGGCACAGCCCGCTGCCCAGAACACCCGGCTCCCACCCCCACCGCGTCTCTTCCTTTTTGCCTTTTTCCTCCTTAATTAATCATACGCTGCTGCCCCATTTAAATATGGAAATGCGCGGCCGGAGACACGCTAGCCCTGCGTGGCGGCTGTCCGGCTCCAGGGTGGGGGCACCGTGGCATCGCCGCCTCCCTTCTGTGTGTGTGAAATTACGTGCACAAAGGCGGCCGCTGATCTGAGTGTGTGAACTAAATAAATAAATAAATAAGGGCTTTTGTTGGGGCTCCGGCTCCGGCACATGACTGTTTTCGCTAAACCGCCCATGCTGTCTGTGTCTTTATGGGACTCAGGAGACGGGGGAGGCCCCGTGGGCCGGCCGGGCATCTGGGCCTCTCCCTCCCCTGGCACCGCCGCACCCCTCCCTCCTGCCCGGGCTGGGCTCCCAGGCAGCCTGGCATGGTGCCAGGCTCGCCGCGCGGGCAGCAGGGTGGGGCAAGCGGCGGCAGCGGAGGACGTGGCCGGGCGCCCTGGGCTCAAGCAGCACCCCAGCCGGGAGGCCGGGGCCCAGAAGGTGAGGGCACCCGGGTGGGCACAGGGTGGGCGCCGGGCGGGCAGCAGGCAGTGAGGCGGGCTGGGCCGGCCTGCAGGGGGAGAGCGCTGGGAGGGCTGGGCACAAAGCAGGTCAGTGCCAGGCCGGGCTGCTCTCTCCCGGCCGTCCTCCCTCCCTCCCGCCCTCCCTCTGGGCCCCCCGGGGCCAAGGGGAGGCCAGCGAGCTCACATGGGGCCCAGGCAGGAGGGCGCGGAGCTGTGGCCGCGGGCAGGCCCGGCGAGGCGGGGCCCAGGGCTGTCAAGGAGAAAAACATCCCAAGGCCTGCAAATTGCTGCTCTCAGCTTTTTTTTTTTTTTTTTTTTTTTTTTTTAAACTCCTCCTGCTTGGGAGGAAAAAAAAAGCAGCGCTTCCTCTGGAGGCGGATGCAAAAAGGATGCAGAATTTTAACCATCTCCTGCACCGGGCTTCCCCAGCGGCCGGCCCGGGCCTGGCCTGGTGGCACACGGGAGGCACTGGCCTGAGGCCTCTCTCTGGGACCTGCTGCAAAGCCAGGCCCACCCACTGCCCCGTCCAGAGGCAGGGCCGCTGCAGGGGCGTGAGGACCGGGGTCGGGTGCCCAGGCCTGCACAGAGCTGCCACGTGGTGGGCCCCCAGGCATTGTCACGGTCACCTCTGGCGTCACCTTCAGGCGTGCTGGACCGTTTGGTCTTATGGTGTTGACCGCGGTGCCTGGGCATCTGGTTGGGGACCCCAGCGCTGTGCTTGGGGGGTCCTGGTGCCTGCTGACTTGGAGCCTTGGCCACGCTGGGATCCTGGGCCTTTCTCGTGACCGGTTTTGGTGTTTCAAAATCATGTGGAAAGTGTTTTGGTGGCCGGTGGAGGCTCCACACACTGTGTATTCAGGGCAGAGCTTACGGGATAAGTTCCAGGGAGAGGGAGGCCATTAGGTCACCGGAGAAAAGATGGATGAGCCCCAAGTACAGAAGTGGGGGCGGGCCTCCCTGGGTTAGGGTGCAGAGCAGCGGGCGTGTGAGCACTGGCAGGTCGGTCCAGGGAGGCTCAGTGCCCCGGGCTCACAAATATGTTTTCATTTTAATGTCTCTTCAAGCCAGAAGAAAAAACTGACTGTAATCATAATGAACACATAATGGTGAATCCTGCCTGGCTTACACCCATCTGTCCACCGGTGCAGCCGTGGATGTTGTGAATACAGTGGAGGCAGGGCCCGGAATGTGTAAGTGCTGAGTCTACAAAAGTCGTGATGGGGTCTCGGGCTGGTCCGGTCTGTCCCGGGACCAGGAGTCAGATCTGGGGGCCATCTGGGTGCCCTGTGCATGTGGCTTCTCCGAAGGCCAGGACAGGCGGACACAGGGCCCTCTCCCGTGCGTGTTTCTGTGCACACACGTTTTCCAAAGCTCCCCAGACACGTGTGTGCGAGACCCAATTCCCGAGAGAGGGCTGTGGGCTGCGTGGCCGCCACGGCCCAGGACGCCTGGCCCTGGGTGAGGGTTGTCACTGAGTGCGGAGACAGGGTGACATCGTCCAGCTCCTGTCCCCTGGGAGAGAGCAGGCTGCGAGGCCCGTCCCCACCCCCGCACCCACATCCAGCACAGCTCCCAGAGAAGCAACGTGAGCCGCAAACACAGCGGCGGCCGAATTTCACATGTGCCAGATGCTGCGTTTTTTCAACAGTAGAAATAGGTGAAATTCACGACCCAAATACCATGTATTTAATCTAATTCACATCCAAAATAGCATATTTCAGGATGTAATTAATACCAAATTATTGAGGAGACAGTTTACATTTTTTTTCCATGTCACGTCTTTGAAACCCGGGGTGTGTTTTACACACGCATCACAGTTCCCCGCGGACTCCGCATTGCGAAGGCCCAGTGGCCTGGTGCTGTGGAGGGAGACTGCGCACTGGGCAGTGCGGGTCCAGCCGGTGCCCACGGCCCCCGCGTTGGGAGACTGCTTTCTCTGCTTTTTTTTTTTTTTTTTTTTTTTTTTTTTTGCTGGTGGCCCTTCGGGGCCAGGATAGAGGATGCCCTCCCTGGCGTGTGCGCCTGGCCCCCCTCAGCCGAACGGGTGGGTGTTGAGGCTGCAAGTCTCCAGGGCGAGGGGGGCTGCCGCAGAGGGTTCTTTGCGGGGCTCCCAGACGCCAGGGGGACGGGCACAAAGGGCTGGCTTCAGGGCACAATGGCGGGGCGGTTAGTCACAGTGCGGCGGCGGCCAGGCACACAGAGCTCCCTGTGTCTGCGCCCGGCCCGCCGGCCCCGAGCCGCTGCCCCAGCGGCTGCTCCTCCCGGGCTGCGGCCTTTTGTCTGCACCCTCCCCGCTGGCCCGTTAACCCCCTGCTGCCCACGGCCTACCTGGCCCGCGGGCGGGGGCACCCTTCCGGGGCTCGGTTCCCCTTGGCCACGCCGGCCGGCGGCGGCGGGCGAGAGGCAGGCTCCCCGGTGGGAGAAGCCGGGCTCGGGCCTGCAGGCTGTCCCTGGCCTCGGGGGAAGGAGGCTCCGGGGCCGGGCGCCCCGCGCTATCTGTGCGGCCCCGGGAAGGCTTTCGGATGAGCGGGAGCCGAGCGCGGGCTCCGCGCACCATCTCCCGGGCGCCTGCGAGCGATCGCCATGCGGGCCCAGCGCGTCTGGAAACAATGAAAAGCCCAAACTGTGAAGGCGAAGGAGGGGCCCTGAAGAGGTGCCCGCGCTCGTGTTTTAAAGTGAACAGACTGATATAAATATTTGAATCCTGTGCCTGGATAGACGGAGGAGAGAAAATGAATTAGTCATGTCCCAGGCCCGTCTGGGGACACTGGGAAAGCAGCTTCTGCCCCCTTTGCTAGTGAGCAGCCACAATTAAAACCTCCGCGTCCGGGCTGCCGGCCTGGAGTCTCAGAGACGGAATTAGCTGTTTGTTGTGATTTGACAGTTAAATTATTAACACGTGGAGAAGGTAACTGCCCCCCCGCAAAAGGTAGAAAACACACGAACAGTCTCCTTAATTTAAAAATGATCTGTGCCGAGATTCCGCACTTGGGCCAGCCTCTGCTAAATTAAAGTGACATGTGTTTTTATTTTAGGAGGCAGGGATGGTTTGCTGTGCCCTGTGTGAGGAGGGCAAGTAAAACAGAGGGTTTTTTTTTTTTTTTTAAATGTGACCATCTACTTAACGGCTTAAAAATTCCAAATGCCAGACATTTTTTCTTGGAGGAAATTAATGTCTCCGATTTATCCGTCTTACCTGCTGATTACATTCTATCATTCTTTAGTTTATAATTTAATCCTTGTTTAAAACCGAGGATGTCTTTGGAATCTAAAAAGCGTAGGTCTGTTTGCTCCGGGGACCTCGGTGCCTCCCTGCTCAGAATCCCAGCCCCGAGCCCGGGGCCTGTCCCCTCGCCCGCCCGAGGCAGGCGGAGCGGAGCGGAGCGGGTCTGTCGGCAGCAGCCACCGCTGTCTGCAGACGGCGCGTGATGGGAGGCATATGCTCAGCTCACGCCGTTTTGCTCTGATTTATTTTAAACCAGTTATGATGATTTTAGCACAAAGAGGGGTGTATCTGACTTGCATTCTGCGAGGCCAGGGATTTTCAGTCTGAGGACAATTCCTTTTTTTCTTCCCCCAAACCCAAATTTAGAAATTGCCTTTTAGAGAGGAAAACGGCACCCTGGCTCGCCTGGTAACTCACTTTAAAAGAAAGAGGCTTGGGATCAAATGCATTTGATTTGTAGATTTCTTCCCATCTGTTGTTCTCCTGGGGCTGTAAATGGCCCACTTAAAAAAATAAGATAAGACAAACATGTTCGCTCCAGGCCACCCGGTCCTGCTGGGGACGTGGGCCCCAGAGGCCCGCATGAGTCACCGTCCTCTGCACGCCTGGCATTCGGCTCTCCTGTCTGCGTGGAAAAAAGACAGACCCTGCCTGGCTGAGGTACCCTCACACCTCTGCCCGGCCACTTTCCCGGGCCGCCAAACTCGGGGCATACGTCCCCGTATGTGAAACCTGGGCCCTGTGTAAACAGCATTATTTTAAAGCAAACCCTACAAAATCTTCACTAATTGCAATTCCACCCTGGCTGCAGGCACCACCTCCAGGAATGGGGGAAAAACCCCTGGAATGCAGGAAACACACTTGCTCCCCCGGGGAAATTGTCTGCCCTGCAGGAAGGTGCCTGGACTGGAGGTCTAGAAGCTGCCGCGGGGACCGAAGACGCCAAGCCTTCGGTTAGGTCCTGGGCTCGTAAGTGAGACCCCCAGATCTCAAACGAGAAGGAAAGGGTCTGCCCCGGCCCCACATCGGGGCTGCGGCAGGAATATCGCAGCGGCAGGCAGCCAATGTTTGCACAGCAGAGCTGTCCGGTTTCGTTTTCTGTCTGAAAGTGTTTCTCTAAAGAGGGGAAAGCGCTAGAGACACGCAAACTCCTGTAATCATCTTTATAACTTTCCTGGCAACACAGGATTGTAATTATTTATGTAAACTCATTAGCAGCAATTCACTTTATTCGCAGGATGGATTATATCTATTTGACGTCTAAGAAATACAGTTGTATCAGCAATACGATCGTTTTCTAATTATAAAAGCAATGTGTGCTCCTTGTAGGAAATTTGGACAAGGCAGAAAAAGGCATGGAAGGGGGAATTGTTCCTCCTCCTCCCAGGAAAGTTCTGGTCACATTTGCGCGAATCGCCTCCCTCTGCCCTGGATTCCCTCGGCCTCTGGTTTCGGATGCCTCCAAGGTGCGCTGGGCTGGGCCCGCTACCCTCCTGGTGCTTCCATTCTTTCCTGCCAGCTGCTCCTCTCCGGCCCTCAACCGCCTTCCTCGGTCCGGGGTTGGGGGGGGGGGGGGCGGGAACCAGGCACACTGCAGCATGGCCCTGAGGCAGGACCCAGCCCTCGGGCTGATCAGAGCGTGGATGGGAAGGGCGCGCTGCACATGGCAGACTCCAAGCATGGAGATGGAGGGTACGGCGAGGCCTTCTCCACGCAGGACAGAGCGGAAGGGGTTGGGGGGACGACAGAGTGACAGTCGGGCCTGAGGTTTTAAGTCTCAGCAAAGAAAGAGGCTTGGGCCAAATCCCAAGTACCGCTTCTCAGGCGAGCAAAGTCTCACCCGCACCGCACCGCGGAGATAATGTTTCCCAGGTGCTGGGCCTGGGCCTGACCTCCACCCACCCAGCGCTGCCGGGGTTGGTGCCAAGCGGCTCGGAGGCAGGGAGGCAGGGAGGCAGGGAGGCAGAGAGGCAGAGACGGGCCAGCACTGATTCCCAAATGCGCACTGCAATCAGGCCTGTGCCTGGGCTGCTCCCACAAATCTGTCAGGCGAAAGTTCCCGGCCTCTGGGGGGGGGGGGGGGGGTGTTGGGAGGGAAGCAAGCTGATTTCCATACGGCTTCCTGGACTAAGTGCGATCCGAAGGGAATTCTAGAATTTCCAAGTTCATTCTTGGTCGGATTAGTGGAGCCTACAGGGATCTGCCTTATCCCCCTTAGAATAACGCAATGGCTCCAGCATCCTAGCAACAGATAGCACTGCAGACAAAGTTTACGGGCAAAACCGTGGTTGTCATGTTAGTTATAGCGGGAAAAATACTTCCGCGAAATGAAAGCTGGAAGAACAGGGAAAGCCTGGCTAAATTTCATGTAACAAAAGAATGGAATAATATTGTGCCACTGTTAAAATGCTATTGACAAAGCATTTGTAACAACATGGGGACACAAAACTTTGCAAACTGTAAATGCAGGTGTGAATTATGTAATTGAATGCCCAGGTCAACTGTGGGGAAGGAATTACAATAGAATATTATTTCTGGATAATGGCACGTAGGTGAATTTTTCTTTTTCCATGTATTTTATACTTGAATTATTTATATTTTACACTTACTACTTAAATGGTCTCTATCTTAAATAGCTATCTTTATATTTTACTCCGAAATTACTTATACTTTAGACTTAGCTATGCCTTCTCTAAACACATGGTGTTTTTGTAAGCAGGGGAAAATCCTCTTTCAAGGCTTGTGAGTGGAAATATAGACAAATGGCATATTTTCCTTCAGAAGTTGCAGATAGATGGCACTGAGCAGAAATATTCATTAGGCCCACAAATAGGTAGAGTAAGTAAATATCATACGTTCCCTTAAAAAAGATTTGCATATAGGTGGCTTATTCATCAAACAGGACATGGATTCCCTAACCAAACATACGTGTTTGCACAACCACAGCGTAAAAATTCTCAAGACGTTT